AAAAAAAAAACCAAATGAGAAAAAATTTAAAAAAATTTTTTTTTTATTCTGCCACTCTTTTTTTTTGTTACTGGAACACTTCATATAACCATTCATATGTCTTTGTTTGTTTTTTCCTTTTTTTCTTCCTGGAAAATTTTTTGCATTTTATAAATTTTTGCATTATATAAATTTATCAATTTTGAAATCACAAATTTATCAATTTTGTTTCATTTTTTTTTGTATTAATTTAGTTTCTATATGTGTAAAAATATACCACATGCATACATATAGTATATTTTCTGAAATGTTCTAAATCGGATCTCATTCGATATTTCATTTCCCTCGAGAGATTTACTTGTAAAAGTCAATTTTCCTGAAATTGTTGTTGTTTTCGATTTTTGACGAATTGTTATACAATTTAAAATATTTGAAATTTTGACACATGAAAGGAAAATGATACAATTTTAACCATAAATGCTTTTATAACTGATATTCAGTGAGATTTTTATCTGTTTAATTTTAAATTTAACGATGAATTTACATTTTTTGATCAGATATTCGTTTGTCAAAAAAATTGTAAAAATTATTTGTGTGGAAAATTAATTTTTTTGTCTTTTTCAAACTCATTTAAACACTCCTCATAGCATGATATTTATCGATTCATCTTCCAAATATATCAACAGTTTTTTTTTTTTTTTAATCCGGAAATATAAGTTTTATTTAGAAAGTTTGACGAGAGAAGTTTCCGATTTAGCAGACAGAAAAAATTTAGCTAAATGAAACAGCAATTGAAATTGATATTAATTTTTAATTAATCTTTTAGCTTTCTAAAAGATATTTGCATTAAAAAATTAAATTTTATTATCATTAAATTGAATTTGTAAGTTTACGGTTATTCATTCGTTCTTTTTTTTTTGATCAACTTTATCCCGACTAAACTATAAATTTTACAGAACAAAATGAGACAAATAAAAATTTTAATTATAATCTTACATCGTCTTCATTAATCAGGAAAAAAAAAAAAAACATTGCGTGATTTAATAGTGTTTCGTATGGATAATACCTTTTAAAAAACACTGCTATAATACGAAACAGGCAAAAAAAGGAGGAAAAAAAATGAAAATTTCATAGGAAAAATTATTAAATTCACTCTTTTTCAAAATAAATATATGATGATAAGTTTGATAATTAGCATTATCATAGGATTATCACATACATATTCATACAACTGATGCATATAAATATGAAACAATTAGAGTGATCGATTGTTCTATGAATAAATAAAATATTTTAATTTTGAAAGTGCATAATTGAAAATTTTAATTTTCATTCAATAGCAATTTTAATTTATGCTGAATAGATGTAAGAAATTTCATATTATTTACTTACTTCAATATATACTTATTCGAGAAATTTCTATTCGTTTTTTTCTTTTCAATTAACAAATTAATTACTCATTTCTTTTGGCAAAGTAGATTATTCGTTACGGATTTTCAAACTCCTGT